TTTCATATTCAACCAATGGATGTTGGGATCATCAAGACCTTTGAAGCTAATTATCGATGCTTTTACATCATATGAGCACTTGATTGCAACAACTAAGGACTTGAAGACATTTACTTTATTGAGCAGCTCGAAGCCATGCGACTCTGCTTACGAGCTTGGAATTGAGTTAATCAGCAAACCGTCACAAACTATTGGCGTCACTCCGACATTCATCCTACGAATATTTCATCATCCATGCCGACTTCAGGTTTATATCAAGCTATTTCAAAATTGCAAGTTACTTTGAACAAAGTTTTGGTATTAGGTGCAATTGCAAGCAAGCAAGTTCCGATAGCATATGATTGCCTAATATACCAGATGAGAAGATAATTGAGGAGGAATGATCAAAGAAGGATATTATTCATCAAGCTCGTACCAACACTTTGGAAGTTGCGGGAGAAGTTATTGAGGAGTTGGAGGAACCAACACGACAGCCTAAGCCGTTCATCTCGCTATCAGAGGCATGTAATGCAATTTCTAGATTGGACCGTCTCTTTCAAACTCGGATGGAATGAGAAGATACATGCAATGCTTCATTATATTTGAAGTGATCTTAGATGGAAAATAAACAAAAAACTCGAGCAACAAGATCTCAAGTCATTCTTTACAGTAGTTGAGACTTCGAATAAGTCTTAGACACTAAAATGAACAACAGAAATGTATTTTACAACCTTTTTTATTGATAGTTTAACCTCTCTTTTGTCTTGCATATCCTCCCAATAAGGATCATCTTTGATGTCCACCAAAGACGATTTTAAAGGGAGATATGAATATATAATGCATAGATGCCAAATCATTATTGCATAGAATAAATAGAGATTATTCAATCATGTCTAATTAGTTCCGAACTAAATAGAAATTATTGAAAGTAGATTTATGATTACAAATGATTACATTATAGTGGAATATATATAGTTGTCATACAACGATCCTTATGCTTGATAGTTAAAGAATAAATTTATTTGTATAAATATTCATATACATAAGCATTTGTACACTTCAACTATTGATCTACTTGTTAGATAAAGATTGAGTGTGTTAGAACAACATGTCAACAATCTGTGTGATCATTATGTGTATTATCCATGTCATGAATTCATTAGAAGTGGAATGAATGGAAGAAGAAACAATTTATCTTCTCATACATATTTGAAATATCTATATAATGAAGAAAAACATTGGTGAATGTATCTCTCATCTTTAGTACTTAAATATCATCTTCAAATAAGTTTCACTTCTAAATCCTAGTGTTACAATAAGTAAAAGTAAATCCATTCTAGATTTCTTGTCTCTTTGAATATTTGTTTCATCTTTTCATAAAATCCTCTCTTAATTTATGGAATTACAAGTGTACTTCAATTTTAACTATCAACATAATGATAACAATACTTTGCTAAAAGTTGTAATAACTAAGCTAATTGTGATTAAAATTTTGTTTAAATATGCAGTTAATTATCACTTATTACTTCGAGTCTTAAGGTTATTAATGTGAAACACATGGACTTCAGGTCTCATTTATCATATATGCAATTTCTTTCTTATAAGAAGACAAACTAATCAAGATTGATAATAAATTCCGTAGAACTCATGGATTTATCAAAATTATTGTTTTAATAGTTTAAAGAGATACTATGTTACTTTGCAGGTTTTGTATAAAAAAAGCAAATAAAGTTTATTAGATTATAGATATTTATATTTAATTTTACTTTATCATGTTTCTATTATGTTTTAAGTCTAATGAATTAAAATCTAAATATTGTTTCATGTCAAGTTTCTTTTTAAAACTTTTTGCAGGGTAATTATATAAATTATGGCTATTAAAATTCTCACGACATAATTTAAAATATTGCAATGAAATCAACTCAAATTATCTTAATTCTTGTTGATAAAGTTAAATTAATGCTCACTATGTAATTGAATTCACTTAAGTTTTCCATGGCACAAATCAGAATTTTTATTGAGTAAAACATTCATGTTTTTGTGATACTAGTTCATGATAATATACCACGTTCTTGAAATATTTTCATTTTTATTTTTCAATATAATATTTTGAAATTTTGTCATGATTTTTCTTACAAAGACTAGAAAAAAATATAAATTCAATAATTAATAAAAATTAACATAAAGTGAAATTTAAAATAGAATAAAATTGCCTCGAAAGTATTTTTTATATTTTTCAATCAAAAAATGAAAATAAAATAAATATTTCTACATCTTTATAATCATGTTATATTTTTTTAAATTTAAAAAATAGATGAATAGTTTTTTAAAATATGAATCAATTCAGAATGTACTAATTATTATTTCTGTATCAAAAGATTTGATCTCTTGACATGATAAATTCATTCACATATTTATTTTTATATGAATCCAATTTCCAAAAATTTTATTTAAAAATTATTTAAAATAATTTCATTTTTTAGATTTGAATTTTTTTTTCTCATGATTATCAAAACAACACATTTTATTCACTTTCAACTATCATCTTTCAGTTTTGTAATTTATATTTCCTTACTAAACAAGACATAAAGTTGGTTTCAAGAGTCTAAAAGTTGTCATAGAAACTACAATGAAGAGTTTGAAAGTAGTATATCATTAAATAGTATAAAAAATAGTTCCAAAGTGATAATTGAGTTGTTTAAGAGAGTGCGAAATTGATGATAAAGTTTAAAATAGTAAAAATGTAATTACAATCCATATAAAATGTTTGATTTAAAATATAAAAGTCACGTACAAGGTGTAAGGATACATTGTAGTATAGTAACACAACTTTTGGCTCAATTATGTGAATTAAGAAGCTTACTGTTTCAATTCGATTTTTATTGATATTAATTTTTTTGAATAGTATTGATTAAAATATGATTAATTAAAAAATATATGTTTTCTCTAGTATTTGAAATTTTATGAAAATTTTTTGAAAATAAGAATGAAAAAATTATCAAGTTCAAACCTCAAGCATTCAAAAATTTGAAAATGCTATATAGATTTTAGAAATATCAGTAAAAACTCAATTGATTATTTTGTTAAGAAAATAACTTTAACATGATAATATAAATAAAAGAGTTTTTTAATAGAATAAAACCAAGAAAAAAAGATATTTTAAATAATGCAGAAAAATATATCAATCATTTTTATCATGTAAAAAGAAAATTCACATTGGCTTTTGTGTTAACCAGTAGATGCAGAAAAATACCCAGACAAAATCAATGACAGAGTATGCACAAAGACAATAACACTTAACGTTTTCAAAGACAAGACCTTATATCATTATCCATATAGCTAGTTATCACTCACTTTGGGTTAATTATACCTCACCCTACTGAACAGAGCTTTGTGATCGGTCAGAGCTATCCCTATGTTTACTACAGCTCATTGATATAATCTTGGGGGCAGAAAGAAAAGCTAATTGTACACATTAATTTAGTATGAATAATAATTAGACCAAACTGAATGATAACTAAGGGCTCCTTAAAAGTAATATCATTTTTCTATCATTATTACATACTATTACAAAATCTTTATAATACTATACAATCGTATTATGTTTTATTATTGTGGGTATGCTTACATACCCACAATAAATAATCAATGTTATACTATATCATTACTATTTTGACTGCCATGCTATTCGAAACTAGACCATCCTATCATTTGGTTTGTTGACTTTCAGATTTATGGAACATGCAGATAGTTTGTTTCAATATTAAATTATTTTTTAGGTAAAAAAATCCCATTATACCTCTCTTGATTGTAGTGTTATCGAAATTAAATGTAAATTTCAGATTGTGACTTAGGATATGATCCTTAGTATGACTTAGGATAAAAAATTGTCATGACACAGAAATATGTAAGTTATTGAATCTGTACTGAAATCACAAAGTCATGAACTTTCAAATTTTGCACCTAATGATTGCAAGATAATTTCAAGTTTTTTTAACTTTATGAAATTTTGGATTAATGAGATTGGCAAGCAAAACACACCAATTGTCATATGGTAATGGCAATAGATAAACCTGTGAGACCCAAAGGGTCAAAAGGCTGAAAAACACAATACAAGCAACAACCACAAACAAGAGAAAAGACCCCAAAGGCCAATCCCTAACTAGTGCCAAGAACACTAGAACGGTAACTAATAATATCTCTAATATAGCAACCTAAATCAAAAGGAACTAACTGTAACAAAGAATAGAAATTCTCTACATCTATATTATGAGCAAGTCTAATTTCTTTGTACCTAGAACAAGTAACAAATACATGCTCTTCATCCTCAATATACCCACCGTCATATAATGCTTTAAACCGTTCAGTTAGGTGTGTTTCGTATACTGTGATGATCAATCTCACACACGACGCTTATATTCTTGCTTATCGATATGAGTACAAATATGGAAGTTCAAACTACTCATTAAAACGATCTTTAGTGAAATCAATAGTTTACCTTGCATGCTTCCTTGAAAGATATAAAGATGTAAGCAAATATCCACAAAATCTTTTTGAAGGAAATTTCACATAAGACAAGAAAATGTATGCACCGACATAGATTCTAACTCGAGAGCAGAATGGAAGACAGCATATGTAGTCGAAAACACAGAAGCGGATAAAGAAGAGAAACCAAGATGACATAGTCAGAGCGAAGGTGCAAGTATCGACCGGAGCTAGACCGGAACAATCAAAGCTCGGCTCACATTCAAATGGATATTTACCGGCGGTAGACCGGAACAAACAGAGCATAGTGGACCTATGTCCATCACAGTTGCAGGTGGGGTATCTATGACACTCACATTGCAAGATAACACATCTTCGCGCCATATCCCGATCAATCCGACGGCTTACGTTTAAACACCGACTCGATCCGTGTGATCGAGTACCGCGCCTTCCGATTCGCCCGTTTCTCGTTCCCAATACAGTTGAATTTTAAACTCCGGAGGGCGTTCAAGTATCGAACCGAAATCCTTCGCCGTATTCAGATCCCCGCCTCCCCGTCCCCTCAAGCCTGCCTCGTCCTTGGGATCAACTTGTCGTCCCAGGCCCAGAGATTAAGGCCATCCATCGCGAATTTGAGTTGCCTGTTGATGTGTGGCACGGAGGACCCGCGAGGTTTCTGATCCGAGGTGGTGATCGCTCACTGTGAGGAGTACAGTCGGTTGCAGAGTGGTTCGTGGATCTGGATTGCGAACTAGCCTGTGGGTTGGAATTTGATCGATCGGTCTGAGCTTCTGTCTGCGAGGCATTTGGTGGGCGATGGCTCCCAAGGGAAAGGCGAAGGTAGAAGGCTCGGGTGAGAAGAGGGGCAGGGGAAGGCCGAGATCTGAGAAGAGGCCTGTGAAGGAGGGTGGCGTCGGGGCCAAGGACGGTTCCAAGAAGAAGAAGAGGTCTAAGAAGAATATCGAGACCTACAAGATTTACATCTACAAGGTTCTGAAACAAGTGCACCCGGAATTTGGAATTTCGTCGAAGGCTATGGGGATCATGAACTCTTTCGTCAATGATATCTTCGAGAAACTTGCGGGTGAGGCCGGGAAGCTGGCTCGCTATAGCAAGAAGCCTACCATTGCTTCCCGTGAGATCCAGTCTGCGGTTAAGCTCTCGCTGCCCGGTGAGCTCGCGAAGCATGCGGTATCTGAGGGTACGAAAGCTGTGACCAAGTTCACCTCAGGTTAAGCCCGCCGGATGTCCAATCAAATCGTGTCCAGCGATGACAGTAAATGATTGTAAATTAGATAGAGGGCCATTTGATCGCCAATCCAGAGATACTATACAACAACTCGCCCATGCGCATAGCTCTGGGCGATCGTTGTTTAGGTTTGATGTGTACATAGCCTGTGGCGATCCAGTTAAATCCTATTAATCATACTCACTCGTATTATTTCAGATCAATCGTCAGATTTATCTATACACAATTAAATATTCGCTTACTCCGACTGTCGTCACTCACTCTTCTACCATATGATCACCTCAATTCACCCCATGTATGCTGCGGGCGAAAAGTCTGCTTCTTCTAACTAAGAACAATCAGAAATGGAGTGGCAGTGCAATCATCGATACTATTAGACAAAAATAATATACGACGTTGGGTACTATATTGCATCGTTTGACCTTAACCAGAACGGACGGATCCGTCAGAAGCTGTCTATGAGCGTGGACACTTGCAAAACGCATCAGAAACCCTTTCTATGATATCTATATCAAGCTTTCTTAACCTACTGAATCTCTGTAACCAATTCCCATGTAACTCAAATTCCCTGTCAACACTAAATGACGTAAACTTCGTTATTATTATGTCCACCGATTCCCATGTACAGAAGGGTACAGCGTTAAATCTCCCAGTAGTGACATATATTGGTTCTTAGGTTAAACTGTTTAAAAATTGTCACTCACAAGACTAAAGTTTGTATAACCTCCTAAAGTTTGTATAACCTCCTAATAGTAACATACATTGGTGTTAACATTAGATGTCATTGTTGGGAGGTGCATGATTTTAATATAACCTCCTAATAGTAATATACATAAATTTTGGTGTTAGATGTCACGATTGGGAGGTGTCAATTATATAAAAAAAAGTTCATAGATTTTTTAATCGTCCAGTGCATCAACCATAAAACTTTTTATAAATGTGTTGATTGGTTTCAAAATGGCCTTCATTTGCACATCTGTATTCTTAACATGGACATTCTAATTATATTTAAAATTAGATTAATACACACAAATTTGAGTGAAACAATTAATGATAATATGTGTAACAAATTAGTGATTTAAGGTTAAACCCTAAACCTTTACTTAAATCCAAAAAATGCGAATTGTTAAGATATAACTTTAAATATACTTATGCCATATTTTTTTAGTGTCATAACTATATATTGTGATAATGATAGAAATTTTTATTTTGAAATTAGATTTGAAATTATCATTATTGTATAGTATCATGTCATTAATGAAAATAGCGACGTATCTTTTTATTGAGTAAATTTACAAATTAAAAACTTGTAAATTTTATGTCACTAATGAAAATATGTCATTTTTCTGAGTGACATACTTTCATTATTGACAGGTTTAACTCTATATATATATAAATATATATATTCATGAATTGATAAATTGATTCATCGAGATACCATGTATGTATATATATATACATGAATCAATTTAAAATTTGCATTGCGAAGGAACAAGCTACAATGGTATCACTTCGTTGAAAGAGAAATATCTGCCCCCGGAACAGAGCTTAATAGTGTATACACTGCACAAGGTCGAGCGACGTCGTGCACTCCAGATAGAGTGAGCTTAGTCATGAGCAAATCTTAGCAACCATCTAATTGTTGCTGAGTGTTCGACGTCCATTGTTCACAACGCCGGCTGTTCCATGGCAATCAGATCGGTTCGTCCCATTAGTAAATGATTATTAATCAGCGAGCCCCGCTGATCGAAACCTCGGGCAGACGCTCATATGGGACGATTCGGCAGAAAATCCATCAATTTTTCTCGTCGATTGCACACCCGACCAACTTTGTTTCGTGCCAGTGGAAAAGTGCCAGAGAAACTCGGCATTTTCATTACACAGACCATGAAAATGAACAGACGCACGAGAAATTGCTCCTAGCGTCATTCTTCAGCGAAAATGGTGAATTTCCTCGAAGCAATAGAATACATGGCGAACATGAAATAGCCTGCACTCACACTCTTCTCTACCTCTAAAATCTCACGCAGCTCCCGTGCTCAGTCAGGGTTCTTCCGGCTTCCGTTCAGCTCGTTCCGAAAGATTAAACTTCGAGAGTATTTGTACAGTTTCTACCAATGCGCTTCCGGCCCTGACGACCTTGAATTCACCTCCCGCTGTAAGATCGACGATAGTCGAGCCCGCCCTGCCGGCAGGAAGAGTACCAGCGTCGAATATGGCGAAGCAATGGGACCAAAGGTGGCTGAACTCGTCCACAGCAACGGTGCTTCGCTCACTGCTCGAGTTGGCGCTCGTGAGAGCCAGAGCTCCTCCGAATTCACGGCACAGGCTGCGAATAAATGGACTGTCCGGAATCCTGACTGCTATGCTCGTCAGACCAGGATTCAAGGATCGGTGCAGCTTGCTGCGCTCGCCACGAGGCAGAATCAGCGTTACAGGACCAGGAAGTAGAGCTCGGAGCAAGCCGTCCGGCAGGTGCTCGACCGTGCCATAATGTTCAATGTTCTCGACGTCTGCTACGCAAATGGCCAAAGGTCTGGTTGCACTGCGTCCCTTGATGCTGTAAACATTCTTGATTGCATCCTCGCAGCAAGCATCACATGCGAATCCGTACAAAGTGTCGGTGGGCACCGCAATCACCTGCGCCCTTCTCAGACCATCCACTGCGTCCTGCACAAACTTATTCTCCGCAGGCAGGACCACTCCACACTCCGACGACTGACTGCTTTCGCTGATTCTCACATCGTTCAGGGCCATACTAATCGCCTTGACCTTCCGGCGCACAGACACCCCACACTTCTGCACCCCGCCGCTCAATCTCACCCCACCCTGGCACGAGAATCTTACATGCGACGCGAGAGTCGAGATCGAATGCCCCACGGAAAACAAACACGCCATCGTCCTGCCTCTGTCAACTCCCTCATGGCACTCCCGAAATCATCGTTTTGAACGCACCCCTCTCTCTCTGCTCTCTCTCTGGCCCCAACCGAAGAAGATCTCCCAAACCCTACCGACGTCTCTTCCACCAAAACCCTTCACTAGACCCTCCACTTTCTTCTCGGTGCTGCTTTTCCTACTACTCCGAGCTACAGTTTTGGTCAAGCTCGACGAACTCTCGATTCCTCTCCATTTGTCGAGATGCACTGTCTCTGGATCTCATGCTAGTCAGAAAGCCACTAATCTAGTCAAAAAGGTAGTATGTTCACGATTGGAAATGAAATTGCTTTCCGAGGTATTGCATCAGCCACCCTCTCTTCAAAGCGATGGATGCACTTCTCTAGTCCTCTGCCGCAAAGGAAAGCGACATCTCGCTTAGGGGGGAAATGGTTGACTGATCCGCTTGTCAATCACAAGGGACAAATAATGGTCAAAGGGTACGAGGAGTGATCCGAGTTCTAACCCTAGGGGTCCTAAAGTTAGTCAGAGGGGCAAGTTTGGTGGTCGGGTTGGGGCTGAGCAAGCTCTTGCATGGAAGGGAGGAAGGAAGCTGGCACGACGGGCATCGATCGATTCATGACCGAAGAAAGCAGCAGGGTTTATGGGAGTTTAGGGTTTTACGAGGGCATGGGTTGAGAGTGGACGGACAAATTTGGAAGTTTCGCTTTGGTTTGCGGTGTTGGGAGAGATTATTGTCGGGGGCGGACGGATCTGGGGTTCGGACATCAGCACCTCTCCGATATTGAGCTGGAGAGGGGCAGGAGTTATGGCGAGTTTTAGTTCCAGTGGCAGCAAGGCACTGTGTTCCTTCGTTTCGAGAATTAGATCGGTTTCTAAGTGTTGTCAAACTTCCACCGTGCAAGGAGAATTAGCGTTTGCGAGGACGAGCCGGAGCTCGAATCCCTGCGCCCGGCCAAATACCGCCACTGCTTCCGCGGATTGCTCTGCAAAGTCGTTTCTAGGGAGTCGAACATTTTCTGCCTATTTATCGAGGTGATTAATAGCTCTCGCTCCTGCAATGTGGGCTGCGCACGATATGGATGGTGCCAGGCTCTTTGAAGTTTTGGCTTACATTCTCTATGCTCGGTCTGCTGTTAGTGATCTTTTCGAAGCTTGTTGGCAATTCTCCTTGCCTCTGGTTGCAAGCCCCCACCTTCCATGCAGAATTGAATAGTACATTGATGCAAATTCGGAATCGGAAATGTCATGTCATTTGGAGACTGTCGATCGGGTCCGGGCCAGATATCCCTGTCATTCAATTGCGCATCTCAAACTAGACCTTTCCTGTGCCGTCGCTCCTTTTCCTTATTCCCACTCGAGAAATTGATTCCAGAAACTGGTAGTTACATTATGCTCAACAGTTTGGTTCGGACTAGCAGGGTTGTATATGGAAATTGAGGTCCAGGACGATTTGCTTCGTAGAATTTGGAGAAGATTTTTAGAAGTATCACGTTAGCAGGGACGATGAGTTAGCCAATCACACGACCAAAGTGTTCGCTGTCTTGTAAGAACTTTCCTAGATAAATATGCCCTGCTTATTCCCTGCGAGGAGTACGTACGGCTGCACAGTAGTTGATGTTCAGTTTTATGCTTTTTTGTGGATTCTGCTTTCACCGTGGTTTGCGTTTTCCGGTCATACTCGTTCCGGAAAGAATTCCTATCGATGCCTTTGCGTGTTTCTTGTTCTGCCAACTCTTATATGAAGATCTTGAGTGCCATTGTTTTCCAAATGAACTAGCTGGCTTCAAAAAGTCTGTGTACATTGGTCTTGGAACAGATCGTAAGGTGATTAGTGTATAGCCCGTCAGTCAAGTGAAATGTCGGATAATGGACACTCAGTCTCATTACTTCTGCATGAGCTGTGGAATGAAATCACCTTTCTCATATTACAAACAATCTCAAATAGCTTGCATTTGGACAAGCTTACACATAAGCTATCAGTATTTTTCGAAGGTCATGGGTTTCTGCCTTTCGTTACTTTTGTGCTGACTTGATGAAACCTACTGTATATTGACTGGGAAAATTGCTACTCCATGAACGCAGGTCTCCAAGTGAACTGGCTTGCTTGCAGTCTCTACTGCCATTGCATAGTGTAACTGCAGCTGCAAGGCTCGTATCTCATCTTAGTTCGAGTGCTGGAGAAGCTCCTGCAATCCTTCATGGTACGCTTAACCACATGTCTCCTGATAGGTAGCGTGAAAGGTGTTGCAGCTGGTCAAACCCTGTTTGAAACCAATATCCCGTGCTCTAGTTGATACACTAGTTACGTTCCTATGCCCTGTAGCATCTTGTAGGGATCAGACATCTTGTACATAAGGGTAGCACGGTTAATGATATGAACAAGTTGACATCGTTACTTCATATTGTCCCTGAGCTTACGCTTTTCGCATGCACGATGAATGTTTCTCTATCACTTCGTCATGAAAATTTGTGCTGGTTTCATTACATCGTTGTCGACGTTTCACCGAGTGGAGGTAGTTGTAGGGAAACCTTTGAAGCTCAGCACGTGAAATTTTGTGAGTCTTTTCGAAGACCGACCATTGTCTACGCATGATTTCAAAAGTGACAAGTAAAAATGTACATGTTTTATAGGAGCAAGTCCCAATTTCTATCCACTTGGCAAGATGAAAATTTAGGCTTCAGAAGCAGAGCAGTTTGAGTGTTCCGTAAGAAGGTTTTTTTTTCCTACTTCGTTGTAAGCACCAGAGTGGTAATACTTCTCTTTTGCAATGTCCACTGTTTAGATGACCTTGACGGCACCTGACGAGTATATGTGCTTTGCGGACATTGAGCGGTTTATGCTGGACTCTACTTCATCTCGCTCCCCAGCCCTTGCAACGTTTTCTGTGGTTAGGAGTCATGCCTCTTGCAGCGGGTGGCGGTTAGGAGCAAGACTTTAGTTTTCGAATCTCTCGTAATTGCAAATGAGCGCAGTTCACCTTGCGCGGTGTTATGTGTTATAAACATTCATACAGAACGGAGTCTTTCCTCGTTCTATCGGCCCCTTGAAACCATGATGTTATGTACTGTTTACATCCTGGAAAAGGATGCCGTGTAATCCCTCAATTATTTCATACAACCACGTAGCTTAGTCGTAAGGCAGGATGGGGTTGTATTTCAGGTGATAAATAGTGTAGTCATTATTACCCTGTCTCTGTCCTCATGTGGAACTTGTTGGGTAGATGAGTTCGAAATGTGCTATAGAGTTAAGTTCCCTGAATAAGGTGATGGCGTATCAACTTTGGTTACAGCAGCAGCAGCGAGAAATTCCGAAGGTTTGTGGCTTGGACCTCGCCCTGTTAAGCCACAGCTGTAACAAGAATGTGACACCTGAACTGTGTTTATCAAAAGTAGTCTTATTCCTGAATCTGCGCATAGCTCTGGCCAGCACTGGTCGAAATTGCAGTTATCAGAATACTTCCAGGAAATTGGGGATCACGATGCTTTCAGGTTGATTGTTTTCTCAATATGTGACCCGAACATGAGGAGATTCCAAACAGTGAGCTATTCTGCAGCTCTTCATTCAAAAGATGTTGACTCAAATCGCCAGGCCCCTTGTGTTCGTGCTGTGTGCTATGGTCGTCTTCATATGTAAGAACGTGCAGGAGAGAATAGCAATCAGTGTGACTTGATTCCAACTCGATGTCAATCAACTGTTGAAGGATGTTCATTTGTGAATGCGCCTGTGTGACAGTCATGTCATAAGCTCATGTTCCATGCTGGTGTTAACGAGTCAATACAGAAAATTCGTACACGCAAAGGCTGACTTTTTAAAGCTGCGTAACAGGCTCGTTTAATCAAAAGATCACTGTCGATGGCCTGAAGGTTCCGCGGGAAAGATCATAACCCACAGAGCAGGTGGAAAACGACAGTTGACGCCGATCCTACGAGCACCACCGAGGGCAGAGGAAGAAAGGGTCTAGAATCAGAAGTACAACATCTGTAACTAACAGTTGCAGATCATACATCCTTTGAGGATGTGGCGGCGCTATCATGTATGTATGTATTCAGTGGGCGAACCTCCAATACGTGGGAGAATGGGCTGTGCCATCATCTGTCCTCGAAATGAGCGTATTGTTGTTGAGAGACATAAAACCGAGCCGAGTACAAATGATCTACAAGGCGAGACCGTTTCCTCTGCGCTCGGACGTAGACAACTGTGTGCATCTGCAGGTGTGCGCCCAATCAATCTGCGAGACGAGAGGAATAATTCAGCCGAAGCAGCAGCTACATGACTCAATGTCGTCAGAACAAAACTCCTGGAAGAGAACCTGAGGATTGTTTGTGAGGGTTCGTCAGATGGGTGTTGTGAATTGAGTGCATAATAATGCAGACCAAGCGCCGAAGCGGAGGCACAGGCACCCGTACGAGCGATGGACGTAATAAGAGGTGGAGACGCGCAGCCCCTGGTTAGTCAGGATCGCTCGGCACGTCAATCCAGTAATGCTGGAGCGAGCGAGCTGGACAGAGTGGCCACTTTATCCGAGTCTGTGTGCAGAAGTTCGAGGTAGGTAGCGTGGGATCGAGGAGGGTACAGGGAATGTCTTGCACGTATCCAGATAACGAGCTTCGAACGGCAAGTCTCTTGTGCCGTGCTGCTGCTGCTGCTCGGCTGGAGAGGCTGTCTGGCTGGGCTTCAGCCTCGACCTGGCCGACGCCGAGGGGAGTAACGCTGGCGAGATTTGGGTGAAAAGATTTTGTTGCATCCCAGATATTGCAATGAAGGAGATAATTAATACTGGTTCTTCCAGATCCTTCTCGTGCAGCATGACTGAAGTTTCCTTCGCTCACAGTAATAAGCCATGCTGCTGATTTCTGAGGGGAAGAAAAGCCGAGCCAAAGCGAGGCGAGCTGATCTGAGGTGCCTGCTGTGAACGTGTCGGCACACTGCACGGGAAGTTCATTGTCCAAGTATAGAACCGGCCATGTCATTGTTTGTTATGAACTACCTCACCTGATGCAGACGCGAGCTGCCTGACACAGCGTAGTGGCGAGTGCCGAACGGTAGACGTCACAGTCGTCAAACAACCGTAGATGCTCGAAGCAATCCACTTCCATAGCATCAACAATAATTCAAACCGCGAGGAGGATGGAGCGACATAAGCTGCAGCATGTCTCAGAGACCTTTGTGACAGAATACTTGGTTCGTTCAGCAGGGAGCTGGTACACTTAAGATTAGAGACGGCGAGTGCCCCATGGCCAATCGTAAGGAACCGAGCATACGAAGTCTTGGAACAGAACAGAGAACTGTGGAGATTATTTAATGCGTTCTCATAAGCAGGCGATGTGCTTAACTGACTACGTGACTACGATTCAGATGTAGCATGAAAATTCGTACTACACCGAACGTCACGATTATCTGCTGTCAGCCTTGATTTCTCCCAGTTTCAGGCTCATGGCAGGGTTCTCATCAGACTTCTCAACCATCCTAGGAACTGACCTAATGAACCAGCTCGTGGAGCTACATATTTTAGGACAGTTATGTCTCGAGTCTCTCTAACCGAAGGGTTAGCTTCCCAGCGCAAACAACATCCCGAGAGATGTATAGATGCCACAATAATTGAGTACGCTGCGCAGCACTTTTCAGGTTTTAAAAGCCACGAGCACGGCGCAATAAACTCCGAAGGGGGTTGCGCTTGGGTGATAATGATATGTAAGTGCTTCGTGATCCCCACATGTCATAACTTACGTAAGTACGATTTGGTGCTGATGTCTTGGATGATCTGTTTTGTGTGCACCATGTCCCACTAGTGTCATATGTTGGTACCCTCCTGTACTTAGATCAGATTCCAACTACTCCGCATTTGTTACTGGCAAATCTTTGGTTCCAGTCAAATCATATGATTAGACTATACAACGCAGTTTCATGTTACTGAAACCAGCGCTTTTCAGGTGTTTTAGATCTAGTCCTGGAGAGGTGAGAGAAGCACCAGGAAACAACTGGAAAGTACAGCTTTTGTTGACAAAGATCATGGCTGCCTCTGCGATTTCGATCGAGTTTCTTTGTCTGAACTCGATGATTTCGAGGGCATGATGACGGAATATGGATATAATATGCCTGCGAGGTTTTCTTTGACAGGAGCTCTTTTCCCACACTGGCCAGCATGCACGCATATTGATCTGCAGCTACGTATGTCTTGTGCATGTGATATCTTCGTATCACATGTACGGGGAGTTGCGACTTGCAAATGGACATTTCACACTTCCATTCTCAGTTGAAGCAGGCTGTCTGTCTTGTACCCCACACAGGTCTAATCCCTCTCGCATGAGAAAAAACGAGACATGTACTTTTCAGAACTGACAAGTTGGACTTCCTAAAGTTATCCTCTCTCTTGCAACGCGTCTGAGGAGCGTCTCGTCTTGTCCCCCATGGCAAGATTGGGTTTGTGTTCAAGCTAGATTTGAGAAGTACCCCCGAGGATGATGCTTGAGGGAAGCAGTGGTGGAGGTTCCTTCCCGGAGTGGAGAATGAAAGCTTCCTCAAGATCCTATGTCTTCTCGAGCTGACGAAACTTGCTCAAGCAATTAGCACTGACATCAGAAGATGATTCTTCCAATGTTCCCGTCCAACCGCACGCAGCTCTCAAGTACCTCGTGCACATGCCCGCAGCCAAAGCAGGCATGATTCAGATGGAAGTCGTTCTACAACAAGCACTGGCTTAATTTGGCTGCACTTTACAGTTACTGTACTGTACTCATATATATGCATCCTCGTATTACGTAGCCCCGCATGTGCCGCCCAAGCGCAGACTCTGAGTGTGTCCAGGCTCCAGAGAAGACTTTTGATCAAGCCGGATGGGACGATCCATGGAGGTCCAGGACCTAATTAGACTCGGGTTCGATCGGCCCAAGTCAACAGCGATCCTGAGGCAGATTCTGTAGACTCTGGCGTTTGTTGGGCTTCGACTCATTACGATCTCGTTAGGTTCCAGGATCTCCATACACGTCGTCGTCATCGTCTTCTTCTGCTTCTCCTTCTTCTTTTCGACTGTCAGTTAACGAATCACATTATCACATCACATCACTGTATCAGCCTAGTGAATGAATAATAATGATTCCCGTTGAGCTTTCGAGTGCACGTTGAAACAACTCTCTGTGTCATAATCCGTCTGAGAAATATCTGTTTCTCAACATCAGCCTGTCTACTCACCCCAGAGCCTATGTGTATGTGACCATGATCACAATCATCTGCTGAGTCACTCGTTCATTCGCTGCTGTTTCTTTGGTGTCTTTGTCCACTGCAGGCCGATTCATCGTCCATGTCAAATCGAGCCGAGCCAAGCCAAAGCTCATGAATGATCCATGGTACAGTCCTCAAGGTCTAAGTTACCAGCTCCCGTACAAGCTAAAGCAGTCGGTTCGGTATCAGCCTTGGATATCGTATACGACGGAGCCCAAGGCTTCTTAAGGCAGTTAAGGCAGCAGTTATGGCTCGTTGTGGCACAAGATTGTAGCCTCCGTTGTGAAACTCATGCTCAGTTTCATGCCTATGTGATCCACTTACTAACTACCTGGCCCAAGTACTGGAGCCTTCCTATTTAAGGTCCGTCCATCGAGTGCAAGTGTAGTGTCCTGGGTGCCAGAGTGGGGCACAAATTCCTCTCAAACGTCACTATGGATGGAATTATAGATCGCTTCTTCGGACGCAGGTAAAGGTGAAGGGAATTATGTGAATGCAGTACGATCGAGGGACAGAGTCCTGTGATTCTTCGAACCGCTTAACGTACTCCCGTCTTCTTCTAATAGAAAAAAAAGGTGTCGAAGCAAGTTGAAGCAAGAGAAGTCGACCTTATGTATGAATGACAGGACCAACAAATGGAGCCTCAGTCGGTTTGCTTTTGTTCTCCTGCAACTCCACCTAGTGCTGTACAGCAGCAGGAGGAGCCAAGTGAATGAGTGGCGAGTGTGCACCATCTCACGACAACCACGTCGGGTCTTCTTACATAATGAAAGGCATCTTGCGTGGTGCGTTGTACCGCAGTTTTCAATAATGGGCACGCTGCAGATGCCTCTGTGTGTGAATAGGCTGCAGTCTTGCACGACTTCAGTATTCTACAACAGATCAGACTGGATCACATCACATCAGAGCAACGAAGGGAAGGGAAGGGAGGGGAATGGGAGGGTGGTGGAAAGGAAGCCATGGTGCCATGGTGCCATGGTGGTGGCGGTGGTGGTGGTGGTCCGAGGGAGGCAGGCAGGGACGAAGCAGGCTTGTCACGACTGCAGTTTTTCACATACTTTGGAAGCACACCAGAGAAAAGAAAGAGAAAAGAAATACGGCTTGTGACGCAATTCACAGGTATCACAACTCTACGTAAGGAAGTACGTACGTACTTCTGTTCTCTGTCTGTCTGTCTGTCCGCCTGCCAGAAAGCGCAAGCGTGATACCGTGGAATCGGACCTCAGAATGAATCATCACTCCTGAAAATGTGAGAGGCCAACAAACTGCCCTGCCCTGCGCTGTCATACTCTGTTGAGAAAGTAAAGAATATACGGCACTGTCGAAATCAATGTCTTCAGTCCCAAGAATCGCCCCCTACCCTGCCAACTATGCTCAATGTCCTCGTGTTCTTGCGAGCTCACGTAGTCTCCGAGAGCTACCTCTCTTTGTTCGATTCACATCCGTCTCTCCCTCTCTGAGTCGCACCTATCGAAAATCATGGTGTTAAACGAAAGTTGTGTGTTGCAGCCGCAGGGAGATGTCAACTTATCCACATCAGAAAATGAAAAACCTTTCCATCCAGTAGAACAGCAGTTGACAGGAGAGTACTGGTCTAGGCTGGGCTGGGCTGGACTGGACAGGTCAATCAGAGCCGAATCAAAGACATTGTGCTTTGAACGTAGAACAGTCGAAAGGAGAGCTCTGCGATGTAAGTTAACAGTTGGACGAAACTGGCATGGCATGGCACGCGATCCTGGAGCTGTGGAAGGAAATCCGTGACCCAATGTACCGAATCAATGTCCAAAAGGGAACTCCAAGAAGGACAGAGAATCCAAACTGAGGAAGGAGGAGAGCAGAGCAGGAGGAGTATGTACACTTGAGCAGAGAGAGCAGTCACAACTGTTTTCCATCCGAACGTTCTTACACCAAGGGCACGAAGTCTGTGTTGTAGTACAAAAGCTGGACAAGATCTGGGCACTGATTACATGCAAGCACATTATTGAAGGACGATCAATTCGACCAAAGCAAAAGCCAAAAGCATATCTGTCACTCACAAAGAATTAGGAGATTGCGAGCTTTACATATAATAGATATATAGGATAATTGCGGACTTTCAGTGGCACCACACCAAACTGGGGATAACTTCTCGTAGCCCTGGGATGTTGTTGTTCAAAAGTCGAACAATTTCTGGCACATTATAACGGTATTACTGCAGAAAACCTCAACCAATCAGTCAAATATAGAACATAATCTCGGATTCTATAACAAGAGTCAAGTCAACCCAATAGAGAAGAAGAAAGAGCTAACCGCGAGAATAAAAAATCCGATCAAATGTAAATTCTAGATTTTTCGTCCCAGCCTCTGAGCTCTAAAAGGTGAACAAGGCCCGGCACGAGATGCAACAGTAGAAGTGCAGAGCAGAGCAGAGCAGAGCAGGGCAAAGGAAAGCAGAGCTAGATACTACCAGAAACTGCAACCCAAATTCCGAGCTTATACTGCTGATGGTGGGTCATGAAAATGCTGAAAGGAGGAAGGGAGGGAAGAAAGGGAAGAAAGTGAGTCATGGAGGTGTTTTGACTCTGGGGATGGACATTGTGGATTTAAGTGGTCATAAGTCAGGGCGAGGAGGAGGAGGAGGAGGAGGAGGAGGAGGAGACATCAGATCGATGACAGTTGAACGAACTCAGTGGGCTGATGTCGAGCCACTGTAGACATGGTGGTCAGAGGGAGGGAGGTTGGGAGGTTTGAAGAAGAGCAGCAGCAGCAGCAGAAAAGAGACGTGAACGCAACGTGTGCTTTGCCCTGAGGAAGTGTAAGGCCTCTCGTCACCGAACAGAAATTCCACAAACAGTGGATAAAAGTAAAGAGTGAGGGGCTCTCGGTTTGTGTATTCGCAGCATGGCTCATGTGCTAGCCCGCCACACTTTGGAAGGATCTGATGCAAACAAAAACTTTTTGCATCATGGGCCGGGTTGCCATCGCCACTATACAACTTTATCAACTGTCACCTGCCACCTGCTGGTTCGTTTTCTCCCTCCATTCTCTATGTCCATGCTGTAACCCCCTCCCTACCTAGCCTCTCTCTGATGCCAATAGATTCTTGAAGCAATCGAAGAAGATGAGGTTGGTTTCCAGACTCGCCACCTTTAAGAGAAGCATCAATCACCCTTTCTGCTTTTCCCTTCTCCTCGCCCCCTTAACAGACGGAGCCCAAGCGCAACTGTGTCATGGATTCGTTTTCTTCTTTTGTCTTTCCCCCCTGCCCTGAATTCTCCTGCTCTTTTATCATCGGCATTCAATGCGTTCCTTGGAATGTGCACTGGTCTCGCACTTATTGCATTCTCTCCTGCGCTTGAGGTTTGGTGCCCACCCCCCTGCTGCATGGACCCTGGATGCCGTCAACGGCATCCATTTCCTACATGAGCAGGATCGATGGGCATTGACTGCCTGCCTTCTGCAGGCTCGTCGTCCTGATTTTGTGGTATGGGCAGGATCCAGTTACCTGCATTTCTGTGAATGGGGGAGACGGGGAGATTCTTCGTTGCTGCAGCAGCAGGATTGTGGAAGGAACGACGACAATGTGAAGTGGTATGTGAGCTG